CTCTTCATTTCTTTAATTCCCATCTCTATTCTCTTCCCTTCCTATTCTCTTCATTTCTCTATTCTCTTCACATCTCTACTCTCTTTACATATTATTACATATTCAAATTTTACATATTCAAATTTCCGTAACACCGAATTTAGATTTCCAAATTTCCTCTAATAAGATAATAATTTATATCAAATAAAAACAAATTAAAGATAACACAAAAATATAATGATTTTTATATTTTGATAAATTATAATAATATTATATATTAGGAAAATAAATTCCAATATAATAAATTATAAAGAATATATATATATATTGTAAATTTTGATAAATATTTATAATATATATTTTATCAATATTCTAAAAAATTTAAAATTAAGATAAATAAATATTAATATTCCAAGTATTTCCAAGTATAAATAATTCCATCGATAAATTTTTTTAATTTGATTAAATTAATGTCAATATTATTTTTTGTTGAATAACTTATCAACCTCGTGTTTAGTTGAAAATTAGAAAATCTGGATGTATTTTTCGAAAATAGAATTCTTCATTGCGGAAGTTCAAGGGGCATGCCCATTGAATTTCCATAGATTCAGTTATCCAATTTTCAGAAGTTACCTGTACATACTGGGCCCCACACTAGGCGATGTCGAACTTTGGGAGGCTGCCCGACGGCGAAAGGACTGGCAGTATTCGTAAGCTGTGCAACATCTGGGTATGACTCAAGATCATCGACCCCTAGTTTTGTGGGATTTGTTAAATGGTCAAAATTATAAATTTTGTTGGATACTAGTACCCATGTGTCCAAGAAGCAAGTGGTCTGCAACTCTAGGCTGTGACATTCAATCATCGGCTTGAAGTATGTTTGTCGGAGCCTCGTAATTGGAACGATGAAGGCGGATTTTCGGTACTCCTGTCCGAGATAGATACTTGGAGGATCATGCAACGTCACGCAAAGTCACGCAACGTCATGCAACGTCATGCAACGTCATGCAACCTAAGCAGACTTCTCTTGGCTTATGAACATACCCAAAGCATCAAAACCTCCCTCAACCAGGACCAGGAAGACCCTCCTGCTGCTGGGCGCGCACTTTGGCCCTTGCCCGTGCCACCTTTGGAATCGGTAGGGCGTGAGCCTGACAATATCGGACCAGAATCCCAACCAATCTGGCTTCCCTGTCTCCTGATGTAAACAGAAATCATGTCTCACTGCTGAGTGCCCCAGCCTGCAGATCTGCTACGCAGGAGGTCTATGTACATTGACAAGAGCTCCTTACCTTGGAGCAACACACTTCCATGGACACCCAGCCGCAAAAGAGTGACAAGGACCTGCACCCAACCACTCAAGGAGCTTCCTCCGGGGTGTCAAGAGCCAAGGCTGGAGCTGAACTCGCGATGACTTTGCCGCTGCTCTTCAACTCCTAGAACAACATTTCTTCCCAATGCCAATCGTTTTGCAGCATATTGCAGGGTGAAAAAAACACTGCAGATTTGCCTCGCATTGTGCAATGTGAACCCCAGATTTTGATTAATTGGATGTTTGTTTGGGGGGGGCTACCATGTTACAAGCAGATTGTCCAGGTCCTTTGGCAGCTGGCTGTCCGCTTCGCCTTGACAAGTGGAAAAGGAGAAGCCTCTGATTCGTTCACATAAGGTGTCAACATGGTGAAGCCCAATTTTTTCATATTACCATTACCATTGCCATTACCATCACTAAAATGCCATGTTTGGCTTGTTTTGGGTGGTATCTGATAGTATCCCCATTTTGGGAGACAAATCCAAACATGTTTGACAACACTCTGCATATCTCCCAGCCAAAGAGCTTATCGTCCCGCGACAGGCGCCGCACACCATTGACACTTTGGGTTCCTGGGCTTCTCAGAAGTCTGCCACCCGCCCTATCTCTGTTGTGTCTTTCCCAAACTGGGACCGTCAATGTTCGTCCTAAGCGTATCTGAAGATTATCCAAATCTATGCAGCCATCTCTTTCTGAGCCCACTTTGGAAATGATGTCCATCTTGCTTGGCAAGTGCTTTTTGAGTTGACGGTAAGCCAGAGTTCAAAGTGCTGCCTTTCCCAGGAAGAGCTGTGAAGGAAAACTATTTGAACGGGGTCTGCCTCTGAAGACTAACACTGGAAATTGCAATTTTCAAGGGGGTTATCATGGTTATCCCATGTTATCCCAGTATACCCCCAGGTTCGGGTTTCAGTTGTCCTGGTCCTGCTCCTGCTCGGCTTGGCCCTTGGCCTCAGGACCAGAAGCTTTCAGAACAATCCGCGCTGAAACCGCCCTGGCCTCACTGCAACAAGCGCCCGACTCGTTTGAGGAGGATCTACACCTGGTCACTAATGTCACTAATGTCACTAATGTCACTAATGTCACTAATGTCACTAATGTCACTAAGCCGCCAATCATTTAAATCATTTAGTCTTGCATTCCTGGACTGCGGTGATACAGCAAAGACAACAGGTCAGAAAGAATGGCTAAAAGTTTGACCTGGCCTTTGCTGCTCAATCGCGGCCGCTGCTTGCCAGCCTGGGGAGATTTCATGTGGGACATTTCCCCATGTCTGGGAGCAGAACTGTAGAAACCCCTATAATCATCAAATAACATCTGGTTTTTCAATTAGATCCCCATATTTTTTATGGCTAAGCATCCTAGAAATGACAATTAAACCCTATCAACCGCCATTAAACCCCACCCCACATCAACCGATCATTAACCCCGCACGAATTCATCAACCAATAACGGTTGAACCCAGCCTCCAGGACCTGTGATCTGTATTCTGGTCGCACGTGCATGCCAACCTTGCAGCGGCGCGCGCTCTCTCTTTTCCAATTGGAAACAGCAAACGAAAACAGACTGAAACTGATACTTGGTCCTTGCAATATCATAAAACTACATATCTGATTGTGTGTGTGTACATATAAATATATATATGTACATATTGACAGATTGATTTAGCTGGTCAGTTGCTATAGCAGCTATGGTGTCACTTGACAGGCTTTGAGGCACCCACCATGACCTTCGATACCTTTCCAGTCCTGGTGGAGCTATATGACTGGGGGCTTCCATAAATTCGCTACCCAAAATGGGGGGTTATAAGGGAAATCCATGAAAATTCCATCTATAAATGGATGATTTGGGGGTACCCCTATTTTCCAAACCTCAAAAAATGTTGGCCATTTCTTTGACATTCTATCTGACATGTTTTCTGGCTTTTTGTCAGGCGCATATTCTGACATATGTCATGACATATATATTCTGACGGCTTAATCTGACATTTTATCTCGCATACATTCTGACATTCTACTAGGCATCTTATCTCGCACTCTGTATGACGTGTATCCTCAGAATTGATTTGATATTCTATCTGGCATATGTTCTGGATTTGTTATCCGACTTTTACATACTTTTGCTATGACATACATATTGGCACTCTATTTGACATATACATTCTGGCATTCTATCTGACACATATTCTAGCATAAACTTTGAGATTCTATCTGACCTTTACCAAAAGTGTTCTGACATATATTTTTACATATATTGCAGTGTTTTGCCTCCAACATTCTATCTGGCATTCTAATTCCATCTGACAGTTTGTCTTGGTGTTCGGGTCCAGGGTTTGCCCAGCTGGCGAGCGAGCGATATCTAGCGATGAAGTGGCTGCGTAGAGACCAGCTGGCGATGACGTGCTGGCGAGGCGAGCAGAAAGGAGGAAGAGGAATGAGAAGGAATGAGTTGTTGCACCAAGTTGCACCTTTCTTTAAATCTAGAGACCTCACCTGGCGAAATTGAGACCCTACAAGGTTGCGCATAAACTTTCACAAGCATTGCATGGCAGTGATTCACTGCAAACCTCGCCTCATGTCAGTGCTTGCATCGGAGACAACTACATCCGCGTCAAAAGGCTTGTTCTTGACATCTCTGAGTGTGACCTCATGGCGGCTGCCAAATTTCGATCTTCTGTTGTGAAGGATTGGAAAGGGCCCAATCAATGGAATCTTGAGGAGTATTGGGAGCACAAAGTAAAATATGAGAATACATGTACATAAATGTATAAACATGTGTTTGTAAATGTATGCAGCTCTATGAGATATGTAAATGTTGTAAATATTAACAATATGTCAAATAGGTTAATATTAAATATGTTTGTATATATAAATCATTATAAATCTATATATATATGATGTACAGTAACGTTACTGGCATTCAAGAGTCAACAGGTCTCCAGCTCCAGGGATCAACTGTTTGTCACCCTCTGACGATCAGAGTCCCCGACCACCAAACGTTTTGGGCCATCGCTCAGGGAGTCATCCTGTGCAAACTGCCTGAGCAACACGAACTGATAGCTTCGATAGCTTCACTGGATTCAAAGGAAGCTCAGGTTGCTCTTGCCGACTGTTGCCAAATGCGCAAACACTGCGAAAGGTGTCGCGTTCCGAGATAAAATCATGCCAGCAGAGCTTTTTCATCGCGGAGAGAAATTTTGCCTGAACAGATTCAGCTGTGATCATCAATGCTTTCAAAACATTTTGCGCATCCCATGTCATTGCGTTGCAGCTCTCAAGACTCGGTGGCAAAGCAGTTCATCGCGTCTGTCCTTCTCTGCGCTATCTTTCAAGTAGTCCGTGAAGAATTCGTGCAGCATGGGCCTTATTCACGCTTGATTTCATGACTCCACGTCGTAACAGTGAAGCAACTGCAAACTTGCGGATTCCGGCAGTCTTGCATTTCTCTGCATGAATTCTTTGCAGATCGATTCCTTATCGCCCCTTTACATTTTCATCGCATAGCATCTGAGGCCAAATACCTCTTGAAGAGCTTATCTGCGCTCTCATTGCTCATGATTACAGCAAATTGCGCATTGGTGGTAAGGACTGTATCACAAAGAGCGGTCAAGACCTCGAGGACAAGTCCAAATTGCATTAAACACCACAGCAACAGCCATGGATTTTGTCAGAAAGCTTTTAGATTGTTTTTCTAAGATGGTTTTAGTAGAAGAAAGTCAGGAAAAGAACGGTAACGGAAATCAACAATGTCTTGGCTTCCAACGGCACGCTTTCTTCTCTCAAGATCATCCTGCTCAGTACATCAGCAACCCGAGAAAAAGGATGGGCCTCGTCCTTTTCCAATGCGCAAGTTCTCTATCCCAACTTTAAACCATACTGCACCGTACTCGATTGTCTGCAGGGTAAGTAAAAAATGATATGATGTGATGTGATATGACATGAGTCAACACCTACCTGGTAGTGGGCACGGCATGCTGGTTCAATTACGCAGGGTCAAGCTAAATAAGGTGCAAGACTGGTGAGACCAATTCAGCCGAACATTGAAATCCCAAAAAAATGACAGCCAACACAACATACCATAGACATCAAGGCCCAAGTCCATCAGCCTCAAAAGCTTGAGAGCGGAGAGTGGACCTCAGTTGGAGCGGTGGAAAGTCATTTATTTCTTTTTTCGTGCTGCATGAAAGTTGGTTTCTGCCAACTAGGGCGTCAAACGCTAAAGACAAGCCATCCGTGGTGCTATCCAGCATATCCTGGAAAAACATGGCTGCTAGCGGGATTTAAACCTATTCAAATGGGCTACACTGATGCGTTTCCAAATTGATGGCACAATGATGACAGACTAGGGTCAACACAGTCAAAAATACACTACATGTCAGCCCAGGATTGAGTACTAACTAAAATTGAAATGAGCAGTTGTCTGGTCGACATTCCTAGCTACACTCGGGCGCAATTCTTCTACGCTCTGCAGTCCTTCTCAGATCCCAAGGATCCCAAGGCCATCGTCGATCCAATGATGAGGATGGCAATGTTGAAAATCACCTGCCACGACATCTGCGACCTTTCAAACACACCCAAATATCATATCAAGTTGGTCATATATCCCATTCATATCCCCATTTATAGAAGATTTTCCAATCACTATCTAAAAAATATCCCCATCTTTGATTTGATATTTCATGATTTATCTAAATTTCATGGTATATACATACATAATATATATACATACATAATATATATATATATACATACATAATATATATATAATATATAATAATAATATTATATCCATATCTTTTAATGACGTCAAATACTGTCGCCCTGGGCTTTCCCGGGCCCGGCCAGATCAAAGCGCACGGTCGGTGAATCCAGCGCTGTCGGGTCGAGAGCTTCCACCATGCGGCTGGAAACCTGCAGGTTTCACCAGTCGTCTGCCCGAAAAATCTACGTGAAAACATGTGAAAACCTCAATCCATGGGTGAATCCATGGTTGAATCCATGGTTGAATCCTCATTGAATCCAAGATGTTTCTTTTTCAAAGAACTCAAACTGTGAGCTGATAAAAACTGGGAAAAGCCTGCAGGAATCTTGTGGTTTATAGTTGAAGATCTAACTCATTAATGAGTTCAAAACCACCTGTGATCATCATGTTCCCATATTTCCCTGTTTGGAGAATCCCATTGTTTGCCAGAACAATGCCAGATCTCCACTGCCAATCGGGCCTCGGCTGCTGAGAGAGCAAGGCTCAAGAAGAATTCCCCAATGATCAAACAAGCCAAATGCCTGATGCGGTCAGCGAAAAAATATAGAGTCAAATAATCAAAAAATGGACAAAACAGCAGGAGGGACACAAGACCACAGAGACACAGAGACACAGAGAACAGAGACACAGAGACAACAGAGAAACAGAGAGATCACAGAGACAAGAGACACAAGACAAGATACACAGAGACACAGAGACACAGAGCACAGAGACACAGGACCAGGAGACAGAGGACACAAGACACAGAGACAGCAGAGGACACAGAGGCACAACAGACTAGAGAGAAACACCGACACACAGACAACAGAGACAACAGAGACACAGAGACAAGGCACAGAGACACTAGAGACACAGAGACACCAGAGACACAAGACACAGAGACACAGGACAAGAGACACAGGACACAGAGACACAGAGACACAGAGGACACAGAGACACATCAGACGACACAGGAGACACAGAGACACAGAGACAAAGAGGGACACAGAGAAACAGAAGACACAGAGACACAGAGACACAGAGAAACAGATGACACAGAGACACAGGAGACACAAGGACACAGATGACACAAAGACACATATGACACAGAGGAAAAAGAGACCACATAGACCACAGAGACACATAGACCACAAGATCAAGAGACACAGAGAACATAGACACAGAGACAATAACACACATATACACATATAACACATATACAACCTATCAATATCCATATACACTATACACATATACACATATACACATATACACATTACACATATACACATAGACACATAGACCATATACACATATACCCATATACACATATACCATATAACCTTACACATATACACAATACACATTCCACATATACACATATACATATATACATATATACTTATATACATATATACATATATACACATATACACATATACACATATACACATATACACATATACACATATACACATATATCATATACACATATACACATATACACATATACACATATACACATATACACATATACACATATACACATATACATATACATATACACATATACATATACATATATATATATGCTGTATACATCTATAATCATCTATACCTGTATGTATATATATACGTATATATATATAGTAAAATGATGTAAAGTGCAGAGCATCTTGGCTGCAGTCGACTTCCAAGTAGTTCCATATTGCGCAGCTACTGGCTAGAGCTGGTGCGCAGTGCGACGCTGCCTCCACGAGGGCACCGTCTGAGTAAAGGAGAAAGCCTGAGAAGTGGAATCAAGGAATTGGGACAAGTTCTGTTTCTGTTAATGATACTTTGCGGAACTAGACACCAAGAGTTCCGGTTGCTACTGTTTCAAGCCTCTCATTTTGAAGGACTATGTCTTCATCAATTCTACTCCGCCAGCAAAATTCACCAAACCTGAAACACTGGACGTACTTGTTCCAACACTGCAGCTTGGCTTCTCAGAAGCATTCAGGTTAGCTCTCTACAACCCTGCTGTAAAAGAACTCGTCAAAGCACGAGAAATTCAGTAATGTGTGAACAAAGCTTGTCACACCGCTCAGGTTCACTAATGGTTCATTTGCTCCTTGTTCCGAGTTTCCCGCAAGGACAGCAACCATGTTCAAAACAGTGTGCAACTCTTCTGGGTAAACCTCATCCAGCGCGAGAAAAGAGATCTGAGATATGACTCCCAAAGCCTCCATCTTGACGGACAGAAAAATATAGAAAACATGGATCAAATCTATCAAATCGGCTTGCCCTGCTTTGAGTATCTTCTAGTATCTTCAAGTGAAATCGAAATCTTAAGTGTACACAGTGACCAGCCGTCAACACCTGTTCAAACTCTTCAGGGGCTTTGAAGTCATGACGGATAAAGGCTGCGCACTTGCAAGCCATATTTCGCAGGTCATCTGACTTTAACGGTGGATTGTCAAAAAACCATCTACGATTCCAAAGCTGACACATGCAGTGTATCTACAGTACACAGGTCTTGGCAGGTTGTTGAAAACCATTTTCTTTCAACTGGAGTTGTGGTTCTCAAGACGACTACTGTACCTTTACCAGGTACAGTTTAGCGTTCCCTTTTTTTTAGAAACAAGATCCCATGCTCCAAGTCTGAAAAACGAGCAACATCCATGACCTGCAAGCCAAAGAGTCTGAGGCTGCGGCAATAAAAACATCAATTGTGTTGTCCCTCCAAAACGGATGGGACAGAATGTTCCAAATGGACCAGAGAACCTCGCGTCGACCACAAAAACTGCAAAAAACCTGTTGGGAGAATACGTGCAATATACAATCGGTCAGACTCTCAAATCAACTTATTGCTACACTGCACTTTCTGACAAAAGCTTGGACGATATGCAACGTGGAAAGTCAGCTACAGCTGCGCTGTATAAAAAGAACCTATCTTCATCCAGTCATCCAGTAAGGCACTGGCTGTCATCAACCAAAAGTGGTTGCTAATGAAGTCTTGCCTCACAGCGGAAGTGGCGCAAATGCCACTGGGAATCTGCGACCATTGGGAGGTCATGAGGTCATGGTACACTGTGGCACTTGCATGACCTGAGAGAAGTCGCGGTGCAGTTTGGGTATCGTCTACTGAGTTTTGCTCTCCATACTCATGTTACTCATGTTACTCATGATGCAGGTGTGGATAGATGCGGCAGATGCGGATACACAAAAATCAGCATTTCCTTAGTCGGCCCCGTTCAGCACCGTCCCTGTGCCATCCTGTGCCTGTATGTTGGTTCGAAAAAACCCAACATCAAGTGCCCAGTGCACACGGAGAGATCAATGAACTTGGCAGGCAGAAATCAGCACTTGATCAAGTTGGGTTTCAGCACAATGTATGAATGGCTGGTGAAAACTGGCAGATTCCACATTTCAAACTGGCTGTAGACTGAGAAAGGGACTAAGATTAGCATGCTGACAACTGGCAGACATAGCCTCTCTTCCCTGAGGGTCTTTTGAATAAGAGTGCCGGAGCTGGGAAAAAAAAGGCTGCATCAAATTCCAAATCCTCCCACATGAAATTCATCCATGACTGAAGTGTCCCTCTCTGCGAACAATGAAAGCACATTTTGTTGTTTTCCTCGTTTCCCATCTAGGATGAGAACTGACACTCGCCAAAAGCAATGGGAGCAAGCCTCGGCACAAATCCAGCAGGCACCAGCTCTATTTTATGTCTCATTCCTTGACAGCTGTGGCAGCTTTGTCCAATTTGAGACGGTAAGAACTGAGAGGCAAACATTACGAACAGGCATAAGTTCTTGAGCAAAACCTGAGCTCCGAAACAAGAACGACAGTGCAGAGCATCAATCAAATCTTGACGTATCTTGAATATTTCGCCTGTGGGAGTGAATCAAGATTGCCAATTTTGTAGTGGAAAAGCAACCCACCAGCAGAAAATTGTCATTCTTCTCCTGGGATTGGTGCCATCATCATTGAATTCCTGGCTGGACTCGCTTGTGTAAGGCTGGTAACAATGCAGCTTTCACAAGACTTCCCGACTCCCGAAAAGCCGATTTAACCGCGAACCTGAGGATGCGCTCCAACTTCGGTGTCATGGTGACCTCAAAACTGGAAAGTGATAGAAAAAGGACACAGATTGCATGTTGCATCGCTACATATTTTACGTACATGTGTGTATCTATATAAATATATTACAGGGGTGTGTGTGTGCGTGTGTTTTTAATGTGCATATCGTACATAGACATGTGGATATATAAACATTTTCAACTATATATGATATATATATATAGTAATGTGTATAGAAGCACGCATATAAACATATATATAATATTATATAATATGTGATATATTGAACATGATCACCTGATTTCCTTGCTCCTTCGTCCCTGAATGGTAGCTACGCAAGGCTGGCCTTTGGAGCAGGGGACTGCGTCTGTCCCTCGGCCTGAGGCGTGTCACTATGGCAACAAGACACAAAACATCTGACAGCAGAAATGGACAAAAACATTGGGCTGCAATTTGCACCCCTTCTTCATAGCCAAGAGAATTCAAACAGCTGAGGAAGGCACTTTGGAATCTTTGGAAATAGGCTTGCTCGGCCTCACTACAGTCATGAAGCCAGGCACAGGTCATGGGGAGTTCCAAACGTGACGGTAGCGACCCAGACCCATGCCTCTATGAAGCTCCCTGAAAAGAATAGAAGTCGGAGCATCCCAATCAGAATTCCATGTTGCCCGTGCGGCAAAGCTGCTTCATTGGAGGATCCTTTGGAGGCTCGACATCAGACTTCCGGCGGAGGCTCTGTAGATGCCTTGCAACCATGTTTCACTGCATCCCTGGCAGATTGGATGAAAGATACCTTAAAACTGCCTCAGGAAACATCATGAGGCGAACAACTCTGGACACATCCAACTTAGATCTGCACCTTGCAGCAGTGGCAGATGCACTCAAAGCGGGTGCTTCCTGCGGCTGCAGATCTATGTTGTTTGGTGTGTGGAGAGCTGACTTTTGCATCTGATGGGATGTTGTAGAGATGGTAGCTTCACTTGCACCATCGAGGGACAAACAAAGCCAAACATGGACTTGGACGAATATCTATGCCCTAAGCAGCTCTTCCAACAAAAAACCTTCCAAAGATATCCAAAGATACTCCCAGCACATGGCTTTGCCAAAAGCTGGGGTGTTTAAGATGTCCACTTAAAAACTACCAGTAACTACCACTTTTCGCAGGAAATTCATTGAAAAACAGGGAACACTGATGAAAGCCATGGGATTTCTTGAATTTGTTCGATGTCCTCCACCGCTTCGCCATCTTGTCGCGCACCTTTCCGTGCCTTCTTGCCAGCAAGGGTCATCCTCATGTGAAATGTGGAGAGAATCGTGGGATTTTAGTGGGATTTTAGTGGGATTTTAGTGGGATTTTAGTGGGATGTTAGTGGGATTTTAGTGGGATTTTAGTGGGATGTTAGTGGGATTTTAGTGGGATTTTAGTGGGATTTTAGTGGGATTCAGGGGCATTCCAGGTATTTGATTGGGAATTCAGATTTCATCATGATATTGATGGGATTTTGTCCAGGAATTTCAATTGAGAGTGGGATCAACTGGACTGTCGCTCCGGGGCAACTGCCTGACTGTGTACAAGTCTGACGCAGCGCAGAGTCACCGCCGGCATCATCTGATACAACTGATACAACTGATATCAACTGATGCTGTTTGCCAAATGTTTGATGAGTCGCTTGCCGGCACTCTCATGGCGATCTTCAAAGCTACCAAGTCAAGTTTCAAATGGTTCATCTGCAACAATTGAGTCGTTGTTGCCAAAATCTGTAAGTGCATGTAATTTACGTCCCTGGCATTTCAGTTCTCAAAACGCTGAATGGACATGAGACATGACACAGCATGACACAGCAACCTTCTGACTTTGCAGGCGCATCAGGTCATCAAGGTGAATCTGAATAACCCAGCAGGATGCACCACGCTGCAAGATATGACACATTGCTTGAAACTACAGGAGCCTTTTCAGCGGGTGACTAATCTGTGGCGGCAATGTGTCCTCAGAACTGAGGGTATCCCTTTCTGCTGCCCTGCCCCAACTAGCACGAATTTGTGCCAATCGCAGGGCATTTCTTTTGGCCAACTGGTGCAATGGGTGCAATGGGATGATCGAATACTGAAGTACTGAAGGGTCAATCTTGGAAGATTCTTTGGAAAAATGAGATGAATGAAATTGAATTGATGATTATATGGGTATGTTAGTAAGTCCAGGTTCAACATCTGCACCTTTGAAGGTGCAACTGGCCAACTCTAGTCTTGGTAGCGAGAAAGGTCTTCAGCCAGTGCCACTTGCGGGCGGTTTTTTTCACAGAAATCTGGGGCCCAGGGACCAGGGAACTCTAAAATCAACAACTGAAGGAAGAACAGATTCACCATATATATCACATGTCAAGTTTGGAGTCCCTATTTCAGCATCACTGTTGCGTCACTCCGCTAGATGGGAAAAACGGGAAAAATGCAAATGGCACCAGGCAGGTGATGTGAAAATCAGTTCGAGAGAAAGGCCACCCTTGTAGCATCCAGGCAGGTGCTGGGGAGGGGTGATCTACTGGCGCGTGCAGCGAAGTCTCGGATGTGCCACGTGCCGACGATTTCTTTAGCGGAGCAGGGAAAATGGTACGGAAAATCCGTCGCACAAGGTCACAGGAAGTGCAGAATGATTTAATGTCTGAAACATCAGAAACATCTAATTCCGATGTTCACTTGGCCGGCCAACCCAACTTTGCTAGCCATCCGATGAAGTGGGTAAAATCGCGCCTGCTGAAATTGGATCTTCGCAGTTTTGACTGATCCAGTGCCTCCTTTGGACACTGAATCCTAGTGTACCGCATGTCTGAGTGTATCGTTCACACATGCGGTCATGCTGCACACTCTCTGTCAGCTTCAGAGTGGCCTCTCACAATGCCACGACGTTGGAGAAGTACCTGCTTTGTGTGCGCAAGAAAGATATTCTTCAGATCAAACCTGACGTCTATCTCTTATCGGTTCAACTCATCATGAAACATATTCATCGTGGGCTATCTTGGGCGATTGTCGCTTGAAAATTGAAGGTATCTGAAGCCACCAGGCAGTTCTGAGTTCTTTCTCATTCGAAAAACTGTCAGCTCGCAGCGTCGGCGCACGGTTTCCGGTTGCTTCTCATCACCTCTGTACGTTTGAAGGCTTGGAGGTTGTTCACCGCACCCTGACAGTAAAACAAGAAATGGCAAGAAATGGCAGCAATTGTTTACACCAAGTACCAAGTGTATATTATGTATACTATGCCTCTACAGTCGAGACCTTAGGCCCACTAATCCATTGCCAATGAGTACACTGTACATCAATCATGAACTAACCCACATAGGGACGGTCCTGCACGTGCGCAGGGACCACGATACAGGCCTGTCATTTTCCAGGAAAATGCTCGGCATTGTGCAGGCTTAGTTTGCATCAAGCAGGCATATTAGCTGCTGGATGCTGGCCTTTGCGGAGCCTGAATTGGGAAATTGGTAGCCATCCATCTTGTTCTGGAAAGCTGCTGCGTCCTGAAACTGCATTTGGCATACCAGGATGCGTACGGGTTACGAGTCTGTGGTGTCAAACCACATTGTGAAGAAAGGCTAAACAAATAGAGCTGTTTGTTGAGCTACCATATTTAATATTTAGTCATATCGAGATATATTAAGCCTATCAATTCATATCAACTCTTGCAGGTGACATGATCTATGTATATTATGTATATGTATATATATATATTACATATGTATATATATATATTACATATGTATATATATATATACATATGTGTGTGTGTGTGGAGATCAATGAATGTGTGTGTGATTATACGGTCCAAACCCGGGCACCATCCTCCGGGGTCACAAAGTTGATGAATGCATAGCCCAGGTTGGCACGAAACTTCACGTCTCGTGGGAGGTAAAAGAAGTCATACCTCAAGGCCGTGGGAGGTAATGTCAACACATGGTACCCTCTGGTAATGACTAACATAGCTATGGAAAATCACAATTTTTTATGGGAAAACTCACTATAAATGGTGATGTTCAATAGTTATGTTAAATTACCAGAGGGTATCTGGTTTATGGTCATCTCTGATACCTATCAATGGATTGATGACCATTCCAAATGAATCAAACATGAAAACTTGAGGTTGAAGTTGATGCTCTTCTTCTGTGGTATCTGGGTCAAAAATCTACCGCTCAATAGTCCCAACAGACTTGGCAAATCTTCTCACTCCTCTTTGAGGCAGTGCACAGCCCCTTGAAGCCTTCTTCGTCAAGAATAGCCATCACCTGGCAGGTCTTCCCTTTTCCTATGCTTCAAACATCTTCTGGATTTGCATAGGACAGTGATACTGGCGAAGCATTATCCAAATTGTCCGATGTCCATCAACCAAATCCAAGTTCAAGAAAAGGAGCCTCTTGTGTGAGCCGGTAGGCTGCACATTCACGGTGATTAGGTAAACAAAGCCTACTCCCACATTTATAACTCTAACAAAAGTGGTGTGTCTTTGTCAAGACCGCAAATCCGCACGAAATCCTGAAAGCACTTCTCTCAATGAATCTTTGGAAACATATGAACACCCAAATGTCATAACATTCTGAGCTTGCAGGCCTCTTCTTGAGCTTTTCGGCAAGGAATGTTCTTCAGCATCATTGTCCTGAAAATTTGCTCGAGGAATCCTCCATGGAAGTTGGAAGCCACCATGGAACTTGGGACTTGACGTAATGGGCTGCGTCTTGGGAACTTGACCTTCACTTGGGTGACTTGGGTCACTGGTGCCAAACCTCAAGGTGGGACCAGGTGGGATGGTGTCAATTGATGAACTTGATGAAGTTTTGATGGATGAATTTGCCATGAATTATTAAATTATGATGAAATGGATGAAGTCAATTACGATGAATGAGTGTCAGGTGGTCTGATGAAGTTTCGATGGATGACTCATGATGAAACCATGATGGATGGAGAATTTGCCATTCTGCAACTGGCGGGATTTGAAGTGGTGAAGGATTTTCTGGATCACAAAAACAGGCAAGAAATTGCAGGATGTGGCAAGATTGAGTCCATGTGTAAGTGCAGCAAGGAACTTCTTGATGTAGTCCGTACGCTTTGGCCCACCACCGCTCAGCGGCACCTTGTTCTTGTCCTGAAGTGATTTAAGTCACTTGGGTGCTGTTCCATGCTGTTCCCAAAACCCTTGAAGCAATCCCAGCACGAGTCAAGATCTCCGGCCTTGCCATCATCCACAGGGGCTGCTCCCTTGTCAACTTTGCGACCTAACAGCTGGAAGATGGTCAATGTTTCACCAAAATGTCGAAACAGAACATCCCAATGACTCATGGATTACCTCTGGGTTAATGGTGGACTATCACTACATTGTCACTACATACTACAGACTGGTGGAGAAAATGATGAAAATGGGGCATTTGACTTTCAGGGTATACTCCACTCCACTGATCTTCCCCATCTGCGCCTGTCTCTTCTTCCCCCCGCTTTCCTCGCCCCGTGGCGACTTTGCCGCCTGGGCCACCTGCAGATTCAGACCCTACGGTAATCAAACGTGGCTAGTCAGCTCGGTCTTCAGGGGTGGCTGGCTGGAAAATTCCCGAGCTACGTGGAGGTTAAATCATCTATAAATGGTTGGTTTTCTATTGTCATGTTTGGCTACCGGAAGGTGTCAGAACTTTCCTCTCTATATAGCATTCATAAACTGCCATTGAATCCTGACAGCCAGCAGAAATTGGAAACTGAGAGGACTGCCTTTACGCGCTTGTCGTCCACCTGTGAGAACAGTAACAAACAGGGAATGTGCAAACCACGCAACAGGCTCAAGTTGATTCAAGGCTTTGCATCACCTGCCTTTGCCCATGTCAGGAGCATACCTGTGGTTTTCCATGCTGGGCACGTGGATTGAACAGGGTCAGCTGTTGGCGGCATACAACACTGGAAAGCTAGGTTCAAGGCCCAGCATATGGAACTTGAGAGAAAGGATCCTGCCAGGGAAGGCAACATGTGAAACTGGTAATATGGGAAACCCGATCATAAACCCCCAATTTTTGATGGTTGGTACCCAACCAATTTCATCCCAGATAAGGTAAAATTGGGGTTGGTTTACCACATTACAACCTGGTCGTTACTTTGTCAGTCGCTACGACTCACAGCGCTTACAACAGGTAATGTCTGGAAGAAACAGGGGTGGCTTGCACTGGGAGAGGCCTGTGGAATGAGCAGGGCCTGCTGCCTGAGCTGCTACTTTGCACTGCAGAACATGTCTTGATGATATCTGTGGCAACCGCGAATGACCATTTCGCAGAGGCACGCAAGTTTAGGTAGCCAGGGCTTTGGCACATCACATGATTGATATTCAGTTTCATCTAAGAAGCAGTACACTGAGCCCAAGCACGCTCCGAGCGTCATGCGTATATGTTCCAATTGCTCCTGGTAGCTCACAGGCACTGGCCCGACCCAACTGCCAGTTGCCACCAATGTGTCAGCGTCCACCGTCCGACACCGTCCGACACCGTCCTGCTGTTGCTGCAGATGCGCCTGCTGCTGTTGCAGGGCACTCAGTCCCTGCGCCAGAAGCATTCCTCCAGCCTCGGCTT